ACTTCTCCAGATGCCTATCTAGGGCTTCACCGATCCGCTTCCTGTCGATCGAACCACTCAAACCTCGATCCTTAGACATATGATGATATCTTCGAAGGGAAGAACCCTAGATCTTAGTGGAAGTGATTTTTTTTGGGGGGGAGAAATTTTGAAGGATATTTTTTTCGGGCGGACGGGAGAGGACAAGAGAAGGGAGGAGGAGAGCGGTGAGGGTAATTTTGGAAATGTTGAAGGGGAATTTTGGAAGCTGCATAAGCTATATTTTTCTATTGAGGGGTTAAATTTTCGGGTTTCATTCTTTGTTGTTTTAAATTTTCTTTTAGGGGGTGTTTGGTTCATCCATTTTGTAGAAAAGTTTTAGGAAAAAACTTGACAATCTTAATTTTTATAATTAAAAATTTTCTGTAGTTTTTTATAAACTATGTATGCTTCAAAAAAATTTATAGAATGTTATCTATAAAGTAGGAAAAAATACTACATTTTATAGAAATTAACTTAGGCGCTGTTTGGTTGGTTTCCTAAAAATCAAGAAAAGAAAAAGGGTACATGAAAATTAATAAAATATTATTTTTATCCATTTCCATCCCTAAAACTCACCACAACATCCAATAGAATATTATTTCCATCCCACAACTCATCTCATATCATCTCCTAAAAATAAACCAAACGCAAGAAATGTGTCACATCATCCAACTCATCTCATCTCCATCACATCTCATCTTTAAAAATCACTCATATCATCCAATAATATGGTGACAACTCATCTCATCTCATTAACATTTCATTTCCACTCGTTTCCTCCAAAAAAGCTAGGAAATCGATTTCCTTAAGTGTGAGTCATATCATCTAATAATATAATGACAACTCATCTCATCTCATCTATTATTTTTATTTTTATGAATGAACCAAACATAAGAAAATAACCTATTACAGGAAATAAGTTTCTTATAATTCATTTCCTTATTTTTTTTAGCCAACCAAACAACCTCAAAACAAATTTTCTTAAAAAATCACACACATCATCCAATAATAATATGAAAACTCATCTCCATTCTTTGATTTCCTTCTTTTTTTTAGTCAACCAAACAATCTCAAAATAATTTTTCTTAGAAATATGTTTCCTATTCTTTGATTTTCCTCTTTTTTTAGGCAAACAAACATCCCCTTACTCTCAAAATGAGAGGAAATTAGAGAGAAATCCGACACATTGATTTAAATAATAGTTTTTGTACAAACTTATCTATTTCCACTTCTCAACTCATTTTCTATAAAGTTAATTTTTTTCTCTTTTCGTACTTTGAACCAAACAAAGAAAGATTAAAAAAAAAGAAAACACCACTTTTTGAATTTCTATAAACTTTTCCTATAATTTTTTAATAGAAATACATGGAAATTAATTTTTGGGGACTTTTCCTTTTCCTTTTTTCATAGAAATTGAACCAAACAACCCCGTAGTTTGTAAGCTGATTAGGATATGTAAGCTTTTCCTTATATTTTTCCTTTGTTTTTTAGGCTAAATGCCACTTAAATATCCTATCGTGGGACACTTAGGGTAATTTTTTAGACTTTAATTTATGATGTTATTCATTAGAACAATGTGATTGAGACTTCATTTTATGATGTTATTCATTAGGATAATACCCTATTTCTTATTTTTAAATTGCCTCATTTCCATACAAAGCTTTTGTCCTCACCTTCAAACATTGCTCTGTTCTTAACTTTGGAGTATGAGAAAAATGCTTCTAGCCCTTAAAATCAAAAAGCAAACATGCCCCACCCTCAAACTAAGCCAACATGCCAAAGACCCCCTAAATCCACATTTTTATGCTCCTAGCCCTCAAATCTAATGCTACCTGACCATTACTTTTCTTTGCCAGTTTGTATGCCTAGCCCCCCCCCCCCTCCCGCCGGCACACAAACCTAAAAAATCCCCCCCACACACACAACACAAACCTAAAAAGTCCACCTTTCTTCTTCCTTTGTCGTTGTAATTGTTAGGTCTCATGTTTATGAGTCTATTGTTTAATCTGGTTTTGATGATTAACAAATAATTCCTAACATCATTTGTCGAGTGTTTGTATTTGATTGTTAAGTATCCTACACAAGATCCTATGTCGGAGGTTGGTTGGAATTGTGCGTCAACGACATTATCTTGTAGGTTGGTGGAAATTTGGAGTGAACACATTGCATTTAAGTCAAATACGAGTTTGTGTTTCATCCCTTTTATCAAGAGGAAGATCACCCAAGATCAAGAGTCACAGGATCATTTAGCTTGGGTATATTAATTTAGATGTTTATACTTTACGTGTTTATACTTAAAACTCAAATTATTCATATACACACAGATATTGGTTTATGATTATCGTTTTTGAGAATATAATGCATTTTTGGATTATAGACTTAACGACATTATTTTATATCTTTCCTTAAGTCTATTAATCTATTGAAAAGTATCTCAAAACTTGTTTGAAGAAACTTCATCAAAATCAAGTATTTAACAAACTCGCATTTTTGACTGTTTTGCCAAACAGTGAGTTTTCACTCTTGAGAAATGGTATTTTAGAAATTCCTTTTCTAATATGTTTATTTTAAGATATATAAAAATTTCCCCAAGTTTTATTATTTTTGGAGTTGATTTACTATTTTAAATCAAATTTACAAAATCACCTCTTCAAAAAATTTTAGAAACTGGAATATCTGTTTTTTGGTCAGTAAGTTTTTAGAAATTTCTTCTCTAACGTGTTTATCTTCATGTGTATAAACGTTTCCCATATTTTTACTATTTTTGGAGTTGATTTGCTATTTCAAATTGAATTTAGAAAATCAGCTTCTCAAAATTTCAGAATCTGCCATGCATGTTATCAGTCGACCGATTCTTAAAATCAGTCGACCAATAACCTCTCATCAGTTTACTGATAAAGATCATCAGTTGATAGACCAGTACGATTTTCCAACGTCTAATTTTACAGATGAATCAGTCGATCGACCATGACTCATCGGTCGACCGATCAACGGTCAGATTGCCAATAACGACTAGTTTTTGGACTGTTTTGTTAGAGAGGCTATATATATGCCTCATAACTCATTTGTTTCTTTATGGAAGTTTCAAAAAAGGTTTTGCAAGTTTGTTTAAGGCTTTTAAGAGAAAATCAAGTGTGTTTATTTGTTTGAAGGAGTTTTACAAAGAGAAGGATTTCATCTTCAAATCTCTACCTTTCTTTGTTTTAGAAAAGTTTTTTCTAAACTCATCCTCTAGCTATTTATTATTTTGATTCTCATATATTTGTGCTAGATTGATTTGAGTTTAACTTTGATTTCATTATACTCATTGTTTTCACACACAACCACTTGAGCTTAAGTATTTCACATATTGTATATTTTGGGTTGTGAGAGTGTCACAATTGAGTGAGCTTTCATTTTCGCTCTCATTTGTATTAGAGAACAAAATCTTTATTTGAGCTTATCGGTAATCACGCTGTAATACACAAGAACACTTAGAGGAGTGGTTGGGAGAGACCAGGATCAATTCTAAGAGGAGTGGCTCGGTTGTAATAGCCTAGGGAGATGTAGTAATTCCAAACACTTGAGGAAGGTGACACGGGTAGGCTAACACTTAGAAGAGTGTATTGTAGGATTGACAACGTGAGAATCGTAAAAGTTTTTGGTGAGCTTTGAAAACCGATTGTGTAGTTATTTGTGATAGTGGAGATCTCCTCGAGGTGAGGAGCGGAGACGTAGGTCGAGGGTTAACCAAAATGAAATTTTCCTATGGGGGGTGAATAGGATATTTGCTAATCTTATCCGATTTAATGTCAATTTAAAAACATATTAACAATCTATCCTAGCAAGTATGATATTTAACAATTTATGAGTAAGGATATGTAATTAAAAACAAGGGTGAAATAAACATGAACACAAGATGCAAATGAGATAGTGCGCAAATGGCAATCACAAACACACAATATGATCACAGAGTTCGGTCATCCTTGATCTATGTCTCTGCTCCCCACTCTCGAGGAGAATCTCCACTATCTCAACCGGTTTTCAACATTCACCAAAAATGTTTACAACTCACACAATCGGTTTTTTAGCTTACAGAAAACTTTCACAACCCACATAATCGTAATCACACAATACACCCTCTAAGTGTTGACCTAGCCCGTGTTAACTTTCTCAAGCGCTTGGATTTACCACCTCTCCCAAGGCTTTACTACCAACGCCACTTCTCTTGGAATTAATCCTGTCTCTCACCACACACTCCTCTCGGTGTCCTTGTGTATTACAATGTGATCTTAATAAATAGTCTCACAAATAAAAGTGTTTGTTCTCTAAACAAGATGAGAACTCAATTAAGCTCATTCTCAATGTTACAACTCCCACAACTCAAGTATACAATATGTAAAAATACTAAAATCTCAAGTGAGTTGTGTGTGTAAACAATGAGTATAATAAAATGCAAACTCAATATAAAAACTAGCTTAATAAAATTGATAATCAACAAATAAATATATAAACCTAGAATTGAGTTAGCAAAAACTTCTCTGTAACAAGAGTAATGGAGATAAGAAATTGAAGCCTAAACAAGAATGAATAATCTCATATTTCTATTGTGAAAACCACTTCACATAAACACTTGAAAAAACAAACTCAAAACACCCTTAAACTATTGTAAAAACTTGTTTTTAAAACTTTCCTTGATGATTTTAGAAGTTTGTGGGTATGAGGTATATATAGGTTCACAATACAAGCCTCAAAAACTAAGCAAAAAGACAAAAACCCAAAAAAATCAGCAAACTAGAAAAACTAGCCGTTACAGACCATCAGTCGACTGATATTGTTCATCAGTCGACTGATGAGCTGACCGTTACAGACCGCTCATCCGCTATCGGTCGACTGATGAACTCATCAGTCGACTGATAACCTGCATCAGTTGACTGATGGTTCATCAGTCGACTGAGCAAAAACCAAATGTACTTTCCAGCCA